CCTAATGTGCCTTTAATGGGGAGGAAAGACGGTATCAACTACAATCCTTCTCTTACTGTCAGACAATTTGATTATGCTTTGAGGGGACCTCCGAAGGAAGAAGAAGTGCAGGAATCTATGTACTTCACTAGTGTAGCTAATCCTTGCCTTCTGGCCAGATTCGTTGATGCGTGGGATAAAATCCACAAGAAGGGAAAGCTTTCTTTGGGCAAAGGTGATTGCAAAGCTTATGACCCCTACTTGGATTGGATTTAGAAGAGAGTTGAAAGGGTATTATTGCCATTCCCTATTGAAGAACCATTAGATAAAAATATTGTTAGGGATGTTATGGTCATCCTTGATAGCATATGGTGGTTGAGAAACACTTTTTTAATGACAAGGAGATGATTATCGATGACGTTGTAAATTACAATGAGTACAACATAAGCCTTTCTATCATAGTCAACCCAAACACTCAAACTCAAGACAACAATCAAACATGGCATAATAAAGTTCAAATGCACAACCAAAATAAGCATTTAATACAAAATCAAAATAACACTCAGCAAGATAAGATACACAGATAGCAGATTAACAAAGTTCAATATAAGAATATGAAAAGGTATCGCCTGAAAGCGAATAATAATAGGAACAATGGTAGCAATCCGAACACTAGACACAATCAATCCCAAGACAACATTCCCAAGCTAGATATCATTGTTTACTTGCAAAATTCTACAAAGATGAACAAAGGAATTAATAATAATAATAATAATAATAATAATAATAATAATAATAATAATAATAATAATAATAATAATAATAATAATAATAATAATAATAACAACAACAAAGAGAAGAACAACATCAAAAATCCCAAAGTGATTACCTTCAAAGATGGTAGGAGTAAAAGGATGAATACTGATAAAATATGGCAGAATTCCTACAATCAACAACATTATATCAATTATGGAAGCCATAATGTGAGCAATAAAGATAGAAAAGTCGATAAAGGGAAAAGGAAGATGTACCATTGAAATGGGGATAGCCAAGATAACATGCATGCCTACAATATTTACACAATATGGTCAATACCTCTATAAATAATCATCATCACAACATTAGTGAAGAAGATCAAAGAATTACCTTAGTAGATGGTAGAGAAGGAAAATGTGGCGGTGGTAGTGGTTATGTTAATAGCCGAGGGAATTATGATATTATCATATCCCATAAGTTGAACATTTAGGATCATAGTAAACAAATTTCTCAGTACAATGCTCCTCTAGTAATTAGGGAAACTAACCCTAGCAACCTAGATAAAAGACAAGCAAACCAGCAGGTGAATACTGAGTGTCAGAATAAGGAGATAAAAATTAATAAGGCCAAATACTTAAGAAAGAGGCTTACTAGGGCAAACAAAGGGATTTTCTAGAGCAAAGATAGTGATAAAAGCTTATATGTCACCTAAGAGCATGGTACTTCTTATAGAAAAGTGGACAGGGATTAAGGTAGTAGTAAGGACTCAGACATGATTTGGAATAAGATACAACAAAAAACCAAGCATAAAAGAAATACTAAAGACATGATCTGGAATTAAAAGAACATCAAGCATCAGACAGGGATCTCTCAAGGAAGTACTCACAAGGAGAAAATGGTGAAACTCAGGAACAACCTGCAACATACTACTAGTCGGATGGGAAGATGACGAATGATAACAATGAAAATATAAATACTATGAAAATAAACCTTAGTGCGATCGAATCTAGTAGCAAAGAAAAGGATCTGATTCATCAAATTGTCCAGCATCTTGAGCACAACCAAGGTAGCAGCTTGAACATGAACCTAAAGCATAAGGGCAATGAAGAAAATAGAGTCAATGATAACTATCACTCTTAGAGAAACAACAAAGCTCAACGTGATAATCACAATCAACAAGACAACACGAAGCATAATAGCATGAATTTCAGCAAGCTAAACAAATCAAAGAAGAGGATGGCAGACTCTACAAATGAAGAAAACATGTTTACCTTCAATACTGATGTTAATACAACCATCAAAGGGGAATAAAACTTGGGTGCAATCCTTTACAATAAAGAGAAGGAGATTATTATGAAAATTACTTCGAATCAGTATGGTTATAACAATCCTCTTGCAGATGAAAATCAAGCAATCATCAACGCCTTGCAACTTGCTCGAATAATGAGGTTGAAGAATGTCCAGGTAAAAACTGACTATAAAACGATTGTTGATCGGGTTCAAATGATGGTGGCTAGAGTGGCGGAGAAGGTGGATTAGACGCACATTAGTTACCAGATAAACCTCATCAAGGAAACCCTATAGGCGTTTGAGAAGGGAGAAATTGAATTCATCAAGCGAGATATGAATGATCCAACCTATAGAATTTCCTAAAAAGCCATCAAGGATATAAACATAATTAGGATATCTAAGCTTAATCAAAGTGTAACTAAAGCTTTTGCTGAATTATATCAATAAATAGAAGTTTGATTATCCGATTTATAAGAGATAGTTAGATGAAAGACCAAAAGGAAAAGTTAGACTATGCTTCTTATCAAATTCAAGTCTTGCAAATGTGTAGTTACAGAATTTTGAATAATCATGTTGATGAACCAAATAAAAAATATGATTATCTGACTCATAAGACTAAACAAGACAGCTAACAAATTAAAATGGTTTTCACCATTTTAAACTACTTCTTAGAACACTTAGACTTCTTTACTATATACCAATCATAAAAGTAAGATGCCATTTGTCTAAAGTACATTTTCTTACTTAAAAAAAACTTAAATTACAAAGAGTGATATTCAATTTTTAACAACTTATACCTATGACAACATGAAAATAATAGAAAAATAAGATTTTTATCGTGAGAAACCTCTACTCCAAAACTTTAATACTCTTTCTACTTTTATTATAATTAACTTAAACTATTTTTTTTAATTGTTCAACTAATCACCATAATAATTACACAAATATTTAACATATATCTCTATGAGACCGATCTTATTTATCGTACGATATAACCACACACGTGTGGTAGTGTGCGTAATATACTCTAATTACATGAGTTATATAACACTTAACTAAATGAAAATCTAACCATATTTGCAATAACCAAACATCTATATGTATTAAAGCAAATTAAAGAGTTTTTATTTTTATTTTTTAAAGTAAGGTCTTAAGAGTTAAATCATAAGATATTGACATGTACATAATTTATAATCTAATTATTCTAACAAAATACTTTCTAATTAGCATTTATAATATGATTTCTTTTATCTATGAAGAAATCCCATCTAATAAGCATCTCATTTGAAATTAAAAAAATTGATGAATACTAAGAAGAAACAATATAACTATATAAACTTCATCTCTCTTTACTTTTATTGTTCTAATTATTTTTAAAATCATTGAGTGTTATTGAAATATTTATGTGAGAGTGAGACCAATGCAATTTAATAGAACCGTTTTAAATATCAACCAATTAAAAACATGTCTTGAGAAAAGTGTCTTAATAGCACTTCTCTAATTGGCCATATAGCATTTGTCATTTGTACATACATGAAACATGCATGAGTATTGGCAACTACCTTTGAACCAAGTAATACACACGCCTTGTGTTATGTCTTCAAACTACATAACTTTGAATAAGTGATTTTGAGCTCACACTAATCATTGTCAAACAAACACATCTTTGATGCCACACAATCCACACTTACCTATTTTTGCATGACTCTTACTTCAAACTAGTTTTATAGTTTGTGTTCTTCGTACTTCACTTTCTTCCAATAAAATACAATCATTCATACACATAAGATCAGCGTAATTCGATTAAATTCAATCACAACTCTAATAAAAATATGTTGGATTCTAAATTACGACATAAACAGTCGATTATTATAAAAATTAAGAATGTGAAAAATTTTAATTATAAAAATTAAATTTGCAAAATAATTTTCTTGTAAAGAAAAATATATGAGAAAGTTATCCAATAGAATTGATGAAATTAGAGAAAAAAAGAGAAAGAGGGAAAAATGAAATTTTTTAATAAGAAAGAGAAGACGAAAAAAAAGAAAAAAGAAAAAGAAGAAACAAAGGAGAGGAACAACAAACACTCTTAGCAGAGATCGAGCTATACACGAAGAAGCAGAGACCAAAAATTTCAATACACAATTTAGCAGAAAAATTCAATTTTGAAGAAATTAACAGAGAAATAGAAAGAGATTAACGAACAAGCTTCCAAGATTCGAAACAAATTGAAGTGAAGTTCGAGATTTCTATTCAATTTTCTGAACTTCGCTAAGGTCAGAGTTCAATCAATGTATACTTTTTTCTCTTCATTCTGCTTCATTCCATTCGAATTTCGTGATTTCTCGTTTTTCGTAATTGAAAAAAATATCTAATTTTTTTGTTTGTTTTGCTTTGCTCAATTTTGTTCAATTCAGTGATCTCTTGATTATACCAAGTTTGGAGCTTTTGGGATTTCTCGAAGCAATGAGGGTTTTCGGATTGATGCAAGTGATGTAATGTTCGCTTCGTTTTGTTCCACGCAAGTATGGTGTTTCGGACCCTTTTGTTTGATTTTTCAAACTTAGGGTTTTGATTTGCTATAGAATTCGTTGAATTGGGTTTTGTTTAAGGTATTTCGTGGTTTGGGTTAGTGTGATTTTTTAGCTGTTTGATCTTTAGGGTTTTGTGATTTGGGGAAATTGAGATTCGGTGTTGCATTGTGTTTGTGTTTTTTTTAGTGGTTGGAATTTTGGCATGAGGGTAGCTTTATTGAGGTTCAAAATTGGGTTACTGTTATTAGAATGATTTGTTTATCTTCTGCTAGTTTGTATATGCAGAAGTTGTGGCAGTTCATTTGTGTTCAATGATGTAGGAGAGGGGAAGTTTTGGGTTATTTCGAAATAGAAATAAACAAGTGCGATTGGAATAAATTTAGGTTACTGGTGAGTGATTGAGTGGGTTGTTTTCTGATTTTGTTGGAAGGTGTATGAGAAATGCAACCCCAACAGAGTTCAAGAATTGATTTGGGTGAGTTGAAAGCACATATTGTAAAGAAGGTTGGACCGGATAAGTCGAAGCGGTACTTTTATTACCTTAACAGGTTTTTAAGTCAGAAGTTGAGCAAGAATGAGTTTGATAAGTTATGTTTTCGGGTACTCGGGAGGGAGAATCTTCCGTTGCACAATCTTTTTATAAAGTCAATTTTGAAGAATGCCTGTGAAGCCAAGACCCCGCCATCCGTCCATCCATCTGGTTCTTCAAAATCAGGAACACGTGTTACTAATTTGTCTCCTGGTAGAGAAGATGGACACGAACAAAGTGTCGCTAACTTCCAAAACCATAATGCTTCCATTTGGCCAAATGGGGTTTTGCCCGTGTCCCCACGCAAGTTACGATCTGGAATGCGTGATCGGAAGCTTAAAGACAGACCAAGCCCCCTTGGACCAAATGGGAAAATTGATTCTGTTTCGCATCACTTCATGGCTACAGAAGACGGTGATGGTAAGGTTGACATGGAGAACGGAACTCTTACTCTCTGTGATTATCAGCGGCCAACACAGCAGCTTCAAGCAGCTGCTGAGCTACCTAAGAATGTTATTGCTGATGGTATGCAACGACTTGCAAAGAAACCAAGAATACATGGCAAAGGGCTGACTGAAATGTCAACCGCGGAAGATGGAATGGAGGCGGAGCAGTTAAACCGCCTCAATTTTGCCAGAAATCCGTTGATAGCGCCACTTGGGATTCCTTACTGTTCTGCAAGTGTGGGTGGGGCCCACAAAGCATTGCCGGTGAATAGCGCTGGTGATTTTGTTAGTTGTTGCGACAGTGGTAGGTTATCTGATCCAGATACGTTGAGAAGGCGCATGGAGCAGATTGCAATGGTACAAGGTCTTGGAGGTGTTTCTACGGAATGTGCAAGTATGTTGAATAGTGTGTTGGATGTGTACTTGAAACGATTGATCAAATCATGTGTTGATTTAGTTGGGGCTAGATCTGCAAATGAGCCGTCGAAGCTCCCAATCCCAAAGAAACAGATTCAGGGGAAGGTCCTCAATGGCATGATGCCACATAATCATTTACATGTGCAGAATGCTGGTAGGTTAGCAGAATCTGAACCTGAACACAGACCCCAGTTCTCGGTATCTTTACAAGACTTTAAAGTTGCGATGGAGCTAAATCCGCAGCAACTTGGAGAAGATTGGCCACTACAATTGGAGAAAATTTCTATGCAATCTTTTGAGGAATAACACATCAATAATTTTTTCCCTTCTTTTTCATAAGCAAAGATTGGATCTGTTTCTTCTGGTACTGATAGCTCACCAGCACTTTATGATTAATGGTGTAATTGACTCTGATCTTATCATCAAGATGAACCAGATGACTCATAAACCGGGAATTTCTAGCACTTCCAGGATTGAGTGCTTGTTTCGAGCTTCCAAATATTTTATCGATGTGCAGATCCCAGATGAATCAGATATATATTTAACTGCAACCAAGGGTATTATCAAATGAAACCCAGCATTGGTTGCACTGTTGTATGTTTAGCATTGGTATTGGCTGTATTGTTGCTATTGCAAGAGATCTCAAGGCTTTTGTTTGCATTACAGCCAATGGGGAGACTTAGAAATTTTTTTGCAGGGATACTATTGTGTAGCTGGGATCAAGGGACCGGGACATGTAAAAGAGCCGAAGCTTGCTCTGTATGTATTTTTAGAATATGATTATTAATTGAAATTCGATATTAATAACACATCAAGATCTATTGAAATTTCCTTGATGATATTGATATCAGTTTTATGGTTGAATTTCATGGCCCCGAATTAGTCCAATAGCTGAAGTAGTTTTTTATTTTCTATTTATTCATAATGTAGATCTGTAAGTTACATGTCTCTTGTAGTTCAAATAACTTTGGTGACAATAAATGAGTTTTTGATCATATGTTATACCATTAAAATTTTGCATCAATTTAATATACAATATCTGGTTCTTTTCTGGTAAATGAATATTGCAATATCTTCTGTTTTAAATCTCATTACTTTTATCACTTCTGATATATTTTATCTGGAAAATAGTTTACTACTTTTGGATTTTGGAATTATAACAAAAGTAAGCTTAAAGTCCTTGAAATTTCTATATGACAATTTGGAGGGAACTTTTGATGTATTTGTTTATTTGGATTAATTAGAAATATCACACACACTTGATCCGCTACAGGTGCAAATAGAGAATAGGATTCTGAAGTCAATCCGTAAAGGTGCCCGAGAGATGCTGCTATACTATTGTATAATATGCATTTATTTTTAAGATTCATAAATACTCTGTTAGTGTAAATTTATTTTACACTGTTAGACCGTAAAAATTGTTAAAACTGTTGCGCTTAATCGTAATTATTTTTAGCGTCGTGCACATGAATGATTGTGACCTGCTGACTGTGAAATTTTTTAACTGACTTTGCATGGTAATTAAACTTTTGTTTTAATATGTATATACTTCCAAGGGCTGTGTCTGTATCTGAGTGGCTTTTGTGCAGTGCATCACCCTGACATGTTTCTTCTGCAGGAACTTGTAATTTTGAAGTTATAACATTTACTTTTAGTGGAGCAAAAAACTGTTTCTAACTAGTTTTGTACAGTGACTGTTGCATAGTCTAAAGTTCTGCAAATAGCTGCTGCTGCTGCTGCCATCTATGGAAGTTGGAGTCAACCAGAAGTAGCTATTTGCAAATGTCTAAGAGGCTGAGATTTTTCTACAAGTGTGCTATACTGATTACTACTGAATTAATTGAAATGTTTAAACATTTAAGGGTAAAAAAGGACACTGTTTAGATTTTACTGATTACTACATACTGTAATGTGCAGCACTATCAAAGTGGTACAGTACCTGTTTGTGATGTGTTCTTTGGATTCAACTCACTATAGGAGCAGAGAGGAAACATGATTTTGTGTGTTTTCTTAGCTTGATAAAGACCAAAAGCACATAGTATTATGTCTCTCTCTCACGTGTACTATGCACAGTTAACTTATATATTAAAAAATAAACAAAATTTGATATTTAATTATATTATGTATAATTTTTACTATTCATATGTATTCATTTATATATTAACATTATTATTTCCACCACATATCCGCTCTATCTAATCCGATTTGAGATCAATTCTAGCATCAAAAGTTTTCAACCATCTTTCGATCATAGTTAAGTCAAGTATCAATCACCGTTGGACTAATTGGTATATATATCAGCACATTTTAGTGTAAAATATTCAATCTCTTACCATTCTAAGGTTTCAATTAAAACTGTAAAAGATATAGGTTTGATCAAATAAATCCACTTATTGAGATATAACTATATAAATGGATCAAACTATATGAATGAATCAGATTGAATACACTCACTTAGTGTAAAATATTCAATCTTTTACCATTTTTTAAAAATTAAAAGTGTAAAAGATATAGGTTTTGATAAACAAATCCACTTATTGAGATATAACTATATAAATGAATCACATTGAATAAACTCAGTTTGTCATTGGGTAGGATTTGAGTAGGATTTGTCTCTATTTCTAAGTTTAAAAAAAATTCTCATATCCGAGTCCATATCCGCATGGACGTCAAATATATGTACCATTACTCGTATCATGTGCGTATTTAAGTATTCATACCCGTTACCCGCATTTCTAATAAAAATAAATTGATAAATTATGAAATATTAATTTTTTTAAATTTTTTTAACTAACATTTAAAAAATACTCAGATTTTATTATTGAATTATAAAATAAACAAATATTTATATTAAAATGTGTGACACTTTATAGTAGTATTTTTTATAAAAAAATTGATAGACATGTATTTTTATATAATAATTGATCTGACCTGATCAGAAGGGGATCACGGGCCGGCCACACTCTATTGGACTGCTACGTGCTCACCGGTGCTGAGGAGCAAAAAGAGGGGGTATACCTGCAAAACACTCTGATGCCAAAGTAAGGAATTGGGCAGAGCGAAAGCAAAGTATAGAAATTGGGCAAGAAGTGAATTACCTGACCCTCTTGAGGAAGAGGGTATTTATAGAGGGACCCCAGCGCTGGGCCAACGGTCATTTGAGGTGGGCTGGATGACCAGGCCCAACCCTTATGACTGCTAGGGCTTACGTGGCGTAGTGAAGACCAGGACGTGGTCTTCGCCCTAGTCCAACTGCTCCTTGATCTCCGAAAAGTGGGTTTGACCTGCTCTTTCGGAGGTGGGCAGTTGGTTGATGACGTGTCCCCGCAGAGGGGAGCACGTGGAGAACGTGCATCGGGCACGTTGTTCTCCCCGCGGAAGGGAGCTCGCTAGATTGAGGAGAAACCAAGGACGCGTTTGATGCGCCGAGGTGTGTCCTGTTCGACTGATAAGAGGGGACAACGTGATGTTGTTGGACGCACTTCTTGTGTTTGGTGGCGTGTTCTGCTCGTCCTGCGGGACGCGCGTGTCCGGCGTGCCCGATTCACTTATTGGGCCGTACGTGGTACTGGGCCTGCCGAGGTCAGGCCCAGACCAGAACAATAATATAAAAGATAAATATACGTATATATTGTGCGAGTATGAGGTGGATTAGGCACTACGCGCACTCATATCCATTTATTTTAATGGGTATTTATCTGCGTTCGTGTCCGAACCTATTTTACGAACTTTTATCCTATCTATTGTGGGTATTTTTTGCAGGTACCCAGTAGATATGAGCTAAATTGTCACCCCTTTGCTTTATTTGACTAGAATTTTTTTTTCATCCTTTAAATTTTTCAAAAATTATTGGAATTAACAAAAATGTCTTCCCAATTTATATGAAGCATGTTTTTTAGGCTTCAAAATTTTAGAATTTGAAACATTTATTTAGCCAATGAAATCCTCATTCCCTTCATTTCATCATTTTTCAATTTGAAATCCTTAAATTCTCAAATATGAAATTCTCATCATTTGCTCATTTTGGATGAAATAATGCATTGAATCATCCATTGTTTTCCTATTTTTGAAAGATATTAGTACACTTTGGTTGATTACATGACTTAATGTCTTGTATTTTTCTTCTTATGAGTTATTGATATTGTTATAATTGTAGAATTTAAATATGCCTTCAGACGTGTGTCGCGACGCAAAAAATATCTGAGCACATCGCATGCTCGATGATACCACAGAGTCGCTATCAAATTTTATTTATTCTAAAAGGAAAGAAAAAATATCGATAAAATCCAGAGAAAAGAGAAACAGGTAAGGGAGTCAGTTATGCAAGGGGAAAGTATTAACATCTCTCACATTTATCGTACTCGACGGAAACCATTTTAATTATTCTTTGCGCGGATGAGTGTTATTTTCTAAAAGTTACTTGCGAAAAAAGAAAAACAAATTTTAAATTAATGTGCTCATGGAGGGTTGAGGCCCTCGTGCCTACATATCCTCATGGTGCAATGAGGAAATCAGGATTTCGTAGTTCGGAGTAGAAAATAAGTGTGTGTTGGTTATTTTTAAGGAACAATTATAATCGCATCCTAGAAGTGTGTAGACGTTAGCTCATTTGATCCTAGGTCGGGTACTCCAAGCTTTTAGTCTGACTGCTAAGGAATGGATTATAAAAGTTCTTTTGAATCCATGATTTTGTTTGACAAATGCAAGTATAAATGAATATTTTATGCAAATGAAACGAACCATAGGCCAGATGAAATGATAAAGAGGTAAGGCAAATTAGGGGTATGACAACGTGTTTTCAGATTGTAGAATCTAGACACGCCGACATGCCTTCAGAATTTGAACTATGATAGTTCAGAATGTTGATCTTAGGTTTATGTTATTTTGTTGTCAAATTACTTGATTTTTTTTGTTTATTAGTAATAAACATTAACGTGTTAAGGCTCCACAATTGTGGAACACAAAGACTTCGGTACTTACTCTTTTAGGCAAGAGGGTGCGCATAAGATACGCATCGATAGAGCTGGACCATCGGAGGAACATCCTCATTCTCAGGAGCTTGAGACACAATAGGTTGGGGAGCTGATGTATAAGGAGCAGGAGGTCGAGCCACATGTACATCTATGAGACATATATATATATATATATATATTGTGTTACAGGGATCATGTGGCCAGAGATACATGGGAGGGAGAGATATGATATGTCTCTCAATGAACTATTTTTTTAATAATTTATGTTTCATTCTTGTTTTGTGTTGTTTCTCTGATTTATTTTATTATTTTATTAGATCTTGATAGGCCTAT